GTGTGTGTGTGTGTGTGTGTATATATATATATATTATATATATATTTATTTATATGTATATATATATATATGTATGTATGTATTTATGTATGTATGTACGTATGTATGTATTGTATTCTGTGTGTATGTTTACCTCTGGTGATACATGTACATTTACATTATTGATAGTTTATTGCTTTCTGAGTTTTCCCACTGTGGTTTTTGTGCCGTGTGGGTGGGTGGGTGGTTGTGTGCGCGGGCGACGACACTCCTTTGAATATCCTGCGCTCGTAGCTGTTTGGTGAGGATGGATGTGATGTGATCGCTGAACAGAATAAAGACCTCCATATATACAAATGGTTTCTAGGGTTGAGTGTTTTGTCAATGCTAGACATACATGATCTTGATATTATCTAGTCTATGGCCCGCCTGCCTGCACATGACTTCTGCAGAGTGTGCCTTTATACACCCATATATATATTTATTTATTTATGTATGTCTATATACATATATATCATTGTATGTATATATACATATATATTTTTATATGTATACGTTGGGTCATATAATAGATGACATAGCTGTACACATTGATTTGTAAGTGTTATGCGCGAAGTCTCGTTCGAATCTACCTCATTATGCCACATCGTATATACATTGCAATGGTCATAAAGGCTGTGAATCCGGACATCTGGGTGTGCCTAATAAGGCCAACTTCTTACATATTTCCATACTATCGAGTATTGAGTATGCTCGTAGTACAGCATGCATTCTTCTCGACCCCTTCATACAATTTGGCCTGGGCGAAGTGTAACGTATGTTCTATTTATAAATTTCGACGGACACAGCTGCCAGATCTATTGATCGATCCGTCGCCGTTCCAGGTGGTCCACCTCTCCCCCTTATCAGAGGTGTGTTTTAAACGTACACGCACACGTTTTCTCACGTCTGCGTGTGTGCATGCTGGAGGTAGCGAATGGATGCTAATGATATATATGTATATATATATATATATATATATAGGACATGCATGGATGCTTGTTTACGCGTACGTTGCTAGATACGACGACAAAAACTGATGGTCATGCATTTTGTAGTATTTGGGGTATATTCAGGTACATGTCAAGGTGTATTGCAACTGACATCTACCTTTTTTTAACGCATAACACCATAGTAAATTCCACGTGCTTATAATGGTGCAGTCTTAGCTAATTTCATCTGTAGCACGTACTTATTCTGGTACTCAGGCAGTCCATCGGGAATCCCCAACTCCTTGCTAATTCTCCTATGCATCATTTGTCATACATACAACGTACTTTTACATAGAGTAGTACGCAGGTTTATTTCACTATCATTCTAAAACCTGAATTCGTTCTCTCTCTTTTACGTGTTCTACAGGTCCACTTCATGTTTATCATGTTGCGGTGTTCCCACCTCTTCGTGACCAGATTCGGGCGGCTCATCGGTTACATCATGCTAAAAGACCTTATGCACAATGATCAGAACACTAGGCACAAGATCAAAACAGTGGATACCCAACCCGCACTTCCCAAGTAACCTACGCCGCTTACATTATATAGTCATACCATCTAAGCAAGGAGCGTATGATACAGGGTTGGTTTATCTGAGAACAAGGGAGCTTTTGGATATCTTAAAAATCGAGTCAATGTATCTGTTGGATTCTGAAAATAATTCGGTCTTTCGATGGGTTGCGTTGTATTTGTAGTACGACGCCCAACGATACATACACTAGGCGCATAATCGAAACAGTTGATGTGGATCATCTGATACTTCTCAGGGAATGTAACCTACCGGAATTACTTGTATAATTGTATTATATACCTTCAATAAATGAAGCAGAAGCGCAGAGAATAAAGATTTCAGTGTTCTTGGTGTCTGTCAGCGCAGTGTGTTCAACTACAATAGATAAACTTAACGCAATAGTTTATTTTGTTGACACACTAGATAACCAGCTTCGACGGAAAAGGTTGATTTGGGAAGATTATGTCTACTCCTTGCAACAGAAGTGGGACGCACACTTCATATTGCGATGACTGTTGTTGAACCAGCGCTGGCATTTTCTGTTGTTCTTGACTTTCTTGTTATACTTGTCCTTGCACACATCCTGGTTATTGTCCTTACATGTTAGCCATTCGGACTTCGGCTCCTCACGACACTCAGCAATCTCACATCCATCTTCACCCAGTTTGAACCCCCACTGGCAGTACATCTCAAATTCCATCTGGGGCTTAGCTGCAGGGCATGATTTGGGTCGGCACTCCGGAAGTTCACATCCATCGTGGCCAGTCTTATATCCATTCTCACATGGAGACTCACACGGAATCATGTCATGGCATTGATTGGGTGTGCAACACAAAACCATCGGGTCAAATGTTGACCAAGAAACTCCATGGGGCTTGATTCGGACATCCTTAGCTGGCTCGTTGTATTTAAAACCTGCTGGACATTCATTATCTTCAATCCACTTTTTACACAACTCGAAACTGCTGGTTCCGGAGGAACCAGCCATGGCAACAGCCGAAGCGCTGGCGAGGACGAGGGTAGTGGTAAAGAACTTCATATTAAGAGCAAGGCAGTTATATAATTGGTGATTGCTAGTGTTCAAGCGATACTGTCTGAATGTTCTGGCATTTATACATGATTTTGTCAACGCTTCAATACGCAACTCCAAAGAACAAATCTGGTGAGTGTCGAGCTATACAACAGGTAACAATACGGATATCTTGAGTTTAACCCATAAATAAAGTTAACACAAATTCTAGCGGCTAGTCTCCAAGTAGTTCCGAGACTATAGGTTTCGACAAGACCCCTGACCTCTGGATACTGGATAATCGACAAAGTCTCCCGAAAAATGCTTTATTTGGTATTTACACGGAAAGTCGGAGACTCAATCTTGAGACATAAATCCATATGTAGAGTAGACGGCTATGGTTTTTATTTGACCGTTTGTTGAGTGTTTACAATGAGTAGTTTCAAGCATCACGAGTTGCAAGTAGTACTCTTCAGATCGGAGCACGAGTAATTCATACATAGCGTTTTCTATATTTAATCTGGATCCTATTCATGTATTCGAGTTTTATGCAGAAGCAATATAAATTTTACTATTTTAGCAATTCCGAACTGGTTCCCGCTGGTTCCTAATTCTCAACTTCTTACTGTTTGTTTATCGTCTATTGACTAGCTAGAGTAGTAGGCTGTAGTATATAGACCACTAGTATGTATTTAGTAATTTACATAGCACAGCAGTGCTTACGTTCTAACTTCTCACTTCACTATTAGATTATTTATTTTTTAAAATACATACAGAATCCTGCAGGACTCTGACTCTATACTCAAAAGTCGATAGTTTCTCTCTATTTTTATAAAAATAAAAGCCATAAATAGACAAAGTCAATACGATTCAACGATCTTATTCCAGACTTTCATTATCCACGTGACCACTTGTGTAATTTTAAGTATAAAATATTGTATTTTAAGAATGAGTAATAATCATTATATATATAACTGATGACTGATGAGTGAAGACTTGCATTATTATTTATTTGGCATCTGCATTGCCATATACTCACTGGGTGAGCTGGTAAACGACATGTCTTTTGCCTATGGCGACGCGTCGCGACGGTCGTACATGTCTTTTTAGGCGACAATGTCGCGACATCGAGGTCGCGACATGTCTTATGGCCGACTCAAAATTGAAGAAATATCATCGATTACCAAGGGGAGAATATGAAAATTCTGAAACTTCCATGGCCCTGTCTGGATTTCAGGATTTGGGTCTCTGCTAAATTTACGATTTCGCTACGACGTAGAGGGCTATGAAATTTGAAAATTGCCGACTGTACAATGTACATATGTATGAGACTATTGAGTTATGACACCATGCCGAGTTTCGTGACGGTCGTTTTCATCGTATTTTTCAGACGACATGTTGCGAATTCATACATACCGCCAGTCCACCAGCCCAGCCATTTAGATATTTTAGACTTTCGTAGTCGTTTTCATATTTAGCCTTCTTATGCACACTTTTTAGGGGGTGTCCTTTTGGTCCGTATATTTTTCTGATTGTTTTAAAAAAAAACATAATTTTTTTTGGACACTTGGACTTCTTTTACTTTTGTATTCATTCTTTTTTACAAAAAGAAAAAATGAAAGGTATTCCGCGTCCACTCTCGTCCAGCGCCAAGTCATCAGCAAGTCAACAACTCGACATAAACATTTATAAAAACTTTTATGCATGCACGCATACATAAAAGTTTATTAAAATATGTCGAGTTATCGGATGTATGCATTTAAATCCGAAAAGAGCAGCTACTAGAGTAGAGTCTCTAGACAGCTTCAGGACGAGGTCAACTTGCCCTTTCAGTACATTGCTTTCAGTCGTACAACGTGCGTCGTCAAATATAAACGAAAAAAATCTATTCTAAGCACGAGTGTCAGGCTGATGTATTTCTACAGCCAACTTGACTCAACACTGTGAAGTCAGAAGTATGAACTGTGCACTTGTAAAGTTTGTAAATGCACATGTTACATCAATGACAGATACATCGATAATTATTGCATAAAAAACATGGCCACAATGTATGTAGTACAAATGAATAGAATTCTCAAAAATATAAATAGGCTCTCATTCAGTGGAACTATTCATATATAAGTGTATAATTGATAGTGAAATATCATATTCTACGAAAAACAAAGAATAACACGGTCAACTACAATAATCATCACTGAAATGAAGTTCTTTACCACTACCCTCTGTGTCCTCGCCAGCGCTTCTGCTGTTACCATGGCTGGTTCCTCCGGAACCAGCAGTTTCGAGTTGTGTAAAAAGTGGATTGAAGATAATGAATGTCCAGCAGGTTTCAAATACAACGAATTAGCTAAGCATGTTCGAATCAAACCCCATGGAGTTTCTTGGTCAACATTTGACCCGATGGTTTTGTGTTGCACACCCGATCAGTGCCATGACATGATTCCGTGCGGGTCACCATGTGAGAATGGATATAAGACTGGCCACGATGGATGTGGACTTCCGGAGTGCCGACCCAAATCATGCCCTGCAGCTAAGCCCCAGATGGAATTTGAGTTGTACTGCCAGTGGGGGTTCAAACTGGGTGAAGATGGATGTGAGATTGCTGAGTGTCGTGAGGAGCCGAAGTCCGAATGGCTAACATGTAAGGACAATAACCAGGATGTGTGCAAGGACAAGTATAACAAGAAAGTCAAGAACAACAGAAAATGCCAGCGCTGGTTCAGCAACAGTCATCGCAATATGAAGTGTGCGTCCCACTTTTGTTGCAAGGAGTAGACATAATCTTCCCAAATCAATCTTTTCCGTCGAAGCTGGTTATCTAGTGTGTCAACAAAATAATCTCTATTGCGTTAAGTTTATCAATTGTAGTTGAACGCATTGCGCTGACAAACACCAAGAATACTGAATCCTTTATTCTCCCGCGCTTCTGCTTCATTTATTGAAGTTAATAAAACAAATATTTAATTATCTCTTGTAGGTTACATTCCCTGAGAAATATCAGATGATTAACACTAACACCTGATTTGATTAAGCGCCTAGTATGTATATCGTTGAGCGTCGTAATACAAATACAACGCAACCCATGGAATAATCGAATTAATATTCAGTATCCAACCGATACATTGCATAAATCAAAGATAACAATGCGCTTTCATGCTCTCAGACTAAACAACCCTGCAATATACACTTCCTACTTAAGATCGTAAGCGTATATATATATATATATATATATATATATATATATATATATATATATATATATATATATATATATATATATAATATATATATATATATATATATATATAATATATATATATA